CATTGTGGGCTGCACTGCTTCTGCCTGAAGCAGAGGGCTCAGTTTCAACTTTCAGTTTAAAGCCTGGTTTAAAGTGAGAGAGGGCAAGATTAGATTGAATATTGAGAAGAGATTATTCCCTGTGAGGGTAGTGAGACCTTGGCACAGGTTGCCTAGAGCAGCTGTAGCTGCCCTATCCCTGGAAGTGTCCAAGGTCAGGTTGGACACTGGGGCTTGGAGAAATCTGGTCTACTGGAAGGTGTCTCTGCCCATGGCAGGAGGTGTAATGAGATGATCTTTAAGGTCATTCCAACCTAAAACATTCCTTGATTTTATAATTACTCTAGGCCTTTACAATGTTGACAGATCTCCACATTGTTTCTGAAAGCTGGAGATGATGAGAAGTCAAATGTTCCAGCCTATTATTGCCGTGATTAGATAAAATCAATCATAGAAGCACAGAATGTCCTGAGCTGGAAGGAATCCATCAGGATCACTGAGTCCAGCTCCTGGCTCTGCACAGGACACCCCAACAATCCCACCCTGAGCCTGAGCACATTGCCCCAGCGCTCCTGGAGCTCTGGCAGCCCTGGCACCACGGCCACTCCCTGGGGAGCCTGGGCACTGCCTGAGCACCCTCTGGGGGATGAGCCTCTCCTGATCTCCACCTAAACCTGCCCCAACACAGCTCCAGCCATTCCCTCGGGTCCTGTCACTGGTCACAGAAAGATGAGATAAAATACCCTATTTCCTGCCTTAAATGAATGCATGTTGTTCCTCACCGTGCTTCACTCAAACCCAGTATGTAAATAATCTCTAATCACTAGTGAGTTACAGCGACAACCCACTTCATCATGAAACTATGCCACAATTCCAAAGCAGATCCTTGTTCTGAGTCAGAGAGAACATTACAACTTCTGCTGGAGAGAAACACTAAATATCCCTCAAAACTTCTGGTCAATCAAAGGGTTCTTTTTCTATTTTGACTGTTTTCTTTTCCAGTACATAAGAGACTGAAGTAGAAAGCCCCTCTAAAATGAAATATGAAAAGGCCTCACTCTTAAACTTAAAATGTTAAAATATTTTGGTTTGATAGCTTTAGAATACTTGTGAGCCCTTTAGATGTTTTTTTTCAAGCTGTGCTTTAATTAAATCTTCAGTCTTCAGGAAGCTCAATTCTTTGATCTGCCTCAGTAAACAGAATTATAGAATCACAGAATGATTTGTGTTGAAAGGGCCTTAAAAATCACCCAGTTCTGACTCTTGCCATGGGCAGGGACACCCTCCACTAGAACACCCTTCACCAGAAGCTTGCTCCAAGCCCCATCCAGCCTGGTCTTGGACACTGCCAGGGAGCCAGGATCAGCCACAGCTGCCCTGGACAACTTGTGCCAGGGCCTCACCATCCTTACAGGAAAGAATTTCTTCCTAATATCTGATCTACACCTACTGTTGGTGTGAAGCCCTTTCCCCTTGTCCTATCCCTCCACATCCTTGTCCAAAGCCCCTCTCCAGCTCTCTTGGAGCACCTTTAGGCATTGGAAAGTGCTATAAAGTCATGAAATGGGGACTTCAGCTGCTCTTTGGTTTCATCCTTTCTTGGTGTAAGCCCATCCTGGAGGAAATGCACAGCCACCTCTTCATTAAATCATGTTTCATTGTGAGTTATTTCAGAGCTTCCAGTTTGTAGAGTGAAACACCTCCTGGGTGAGTTAAATATACGATAAATGGTTCAGAGGTTCTGGAAACCAGTTTTTGGGCAGCAAGGGACTTCACCTCATGCTGGTAGATGCTATAGGTCACTTTCTGACAGTATTTACACAGACTAAATGAAGCCATTAAAATAACCAAACTGCTGCTGTTATCTCTCACAAGAGACTGTCCCAGCAGTGGAAATAACTTATTCACTAGAAAAACTCCTTGGAAGTGTCTAATTGGCCAGCTGAGACTCTGCCTAATTGGAGCGTCTATTTGCCCTGACATTCGTGATGCAGCAGAAGCAAAATGCTCTTCTGAGCCCTGACTCTCCAGGGCTACTCCAATGCCTTCATGGGCTCAGAAGATTTGGACATTCCCATACAGTGCTGGAGGCAAGAAGCTGCCTGGAGCCTTCATCTCTTGACAGATTGGCCAGAAATAGAAATACTTTCCCCTCATATATATTTATATATATAAATATATAAATAGTCTCAAGCTATTTCCAACCCTCATTCTCATCCCCAACACATCCTCACAGCTGCAGCAGGATGGTCTATGAGCCAGGAAAGTTGGCCATTGGATAACTGCAGACAGTGGGATTCAGGCTGAAGCATTGAAGGGGGGGAAATGAAATTGCAAAGGTTCTCCCAGCCCATTACCATGGGAGATAAGACATGAGGGATAAATCTTGGATGGGCTGGAAATCAACAGCAAGACCCTACAGACTGCAAGACGTTCAAATCTCCCTTCTTAGAGCAGTTGAGCAATTGCACAGAGTGCTCCATTTAGCTGGATACAAAACCAGCAGGAAGAAAACACATTGGAGGTCGGCTGCCACAGTGAAATTGCCTTATGTTGCATTTATCACACTGTTGACACTAGATAACTGATAACATTTTATGATTCTTACGAACAAGCCTGGAGGTGACCTCCAGCTGTAGGTTCATAAAGCCACAATAATCACCCAGACATCTGGATATTGAGCTCTAGGATAAAATAGAATCTGTAAACCTGATCCAAATAAAAGTAGAGGCACAGTTTATTTTTTGGGAGGCATGACTTCTTGGTGAAAAAAAGGCAGGATCTTTGATCATGATGGTCATGGAAAAACCAGTTGTGAGGAGGCACCTCAGAAGTAGGGCTGGGGAGGTGGTTGGAGACCTCTGGTACATAAAGGTCAAAGAAAGGAATTGAAGGTGATGTTGCTGCATTTGGACAAAGAAAACCCCATGTGGAAGGAGTGAATACATGGAGACATGCAATAAAGGCTGTGAAAATTCAGCTAAGTAGTGAGTAAGGGCTAACGCAGAATCACAGAATGGTTGGGTTGGAAAGGACTTTAAAGATCATCTTCTTCCATCCCCCTGCCAGGGAGAGGGACACCTTCCACTGTCCTGGGCTGGTCCAAGCCCCATCCAGTCAGGTCTGGAACACTCCCAGGGATCCAGAGGCAGCCACAGCTTTTCTGGGCAACCTGTGCCAGGGCCTCACCAACCTCACAGGTAAGAATTTCTACCTAACATTGCATCTCAAGCTACTGTTGTAAAGCCATTCCCCTTTGTCCTGTCAACTCCCTCTCTTGTCCAAAGTCCCTCTCCAGTTCTCCTGCAGCCCCTTTAGGCACTGACAGGTGTTTTAAGGTCTCCCCAGAGCCTTTTCTTCTCCACGTTGAACATCCCCAACTCTCTCAGCCTCTATGGGCACTGCAGCAGAAGACTGGGGTGCACCTTTCTGCCTCGTGTCTTGGAGGTCCCAGGGAAGGGCTCCCCAGTACTGCCTGCTGGAACCAGCCCTCTCTCCCCTGGGCTTCAGCACCCTCCAGGAAGCCAAAGGTAAATGTGGCAGACCTCCACCAAAGAATGAGTGAGAGACTCAACCAAAACAGAGAGGTCTGAAGAAAAACTCATGCCATCCACTCTATATCCCAGACATTTACTTGAAAGTTCAGAGACTTCTCATTTGTTTTATATTTCCTGTTGCTCCAATCAACGTGGTTGGAAGTCAAACTCCATTGGGTAGTTTCTAGCCCTTGCTTTCCCCAAGAGCCACCTGGCTGTCCTGAAGACACACCCCGTAATGTCCCAGGAGGGGGAAGAGCAGCTGTGGGTTTAGCCCTGTACCTGCTGTGCACTCCCTGCCCACCCAAACCCACCTTGTAACCAAATCTGCTGGGATGATCACTGGGGTTGGCATCTGCTGGACCACAAGCCAGTGTCTGCACTGGGCAGACATGTTTGTTTCCCGGGGTGTCTGGTTTGATTCATGCTGACAGGGCAGGTACCCGCTCTGCACTCCCCATGGGTGTAGGGAAGCTGGGCTTCCACAGGATTATTTATAGGGCACAGCATTATTTATGTTCCCCTATTCTTGCTGTCTTGCTGTCATGCCCTGAACTGCATTTCAAAAATCACAATTTAGTAGTAGATCTGTGATTTTGTTTAACTTCATTAAATGAAATGAAACTTGCTGGAACGAAGTAAAATGAAAAGAAAATAAATTCTATAGAATTAAATGAAATTAAATTTTAAAATTTAATGAAATTAAATTTAGTGAAATTCTATGAAATTTTATGGAGTGAAATGAGATTCTAAAAATGAGATTAAATTAAATTCAATTTCCTGGAATGAAATTAAATTAAACAGAATGAAATTAAATAAAACAAAATGAAATGCTGCAACTGGCAGATTTTTTGTTCATTTCCTTAAAAATATTTAGAACTCTCAAGAGTTGATTTGCTGATATTAACATCTGCAATGCTACTTCTCTGAAAAATTTAATTAATCTTATACTACAAAAAATTAAATGTCTCTCAAATTATTTATGACCTGACGAACTCTTTTCTGAACCACTACTCACTCTCAAGGGTCATGATTCACAACTTCCATTATGTGTGCAATTCCAGTGGACACACAGAGTCCTTGTAGTTGTGCATTTGTGGTTGTGGAGAGTGTTTGGTTAAGTCAAATCTTTGTAAATCTCTAGCATTTGCTCATATAACTAAATGCATTAATGGGCATTACACTGTGACATCAGCTGAGGTATTGCTCATTTAAAACAATTAAGTATTTCACTATCAAATAAAGCTTTTCTTTCTCTTCTGTCTCTACTTTCCAGAGTTTTCAGTAAGTACTCATATTTCTTTCATATTATAAACTCAAACTTACTCTAAAATACACGGGAAAAAATCAGTGCATTGTCAAAGCACCCAAGCACTTATGAGAGACAAATCAAGGGCTTCTTTCAAAAGCTCTGCAAGGAAAATGTTCATTGAATTGTTGGAAGCCTCAGAACTAGTTAAACTTGTTCCCGTAAAGAGTGGGTACCGGCTGGCGCCGCCCCGCCGCTCGGGCGGGAGGAGTGCGGGGCTGTGGGAGGGCTGCGGGGCTCGGGAGGGCTGCGGGGCTCGGGAGGGCTGCGGGACTGGCTCGGGAGGGCTGCGGGGCTGTGGGAGGGCTGCGGGGCTCGGGAGGGCTGCGGGGCTGTGGGAGGGCTGCGGGACTGGCTCGGGAGGGCTGCGGGGCTCGGCGCTGCGGGGCCGGCTCGGGGCTCGGGGCTGCGGGACTCGGGGCTCGGGGCTGCGGGGCCGGCTCGGGGCTGCGGGATTCGGGGCGCGGGGCTGCGGGGCCGGCTCGGGGCTCGGGGCTGCGTGAGGGCTGCGGGAGGGCTCCGGGGCTCGGGGTTGTGGGGCCAGCTCGGGGCTGCGGGAGGGCTCCGGGCTGCGGGGCTCGGCTCCCTCGCTGTGGGCCGCTCGCTGCCCGTGCCCGGCGGGGCTGGCCGGTGGCCCCCCCCGCCCCTTCCCCGGGTAGCAATCAGCCCGGCGGCTCCGCCTGAGGAGGGGGCACGGAGAGCCCCGAGCACGGCAGGGGTCCCTCAGGAGCGGGTGGCCGTCTCTGGCCGGGCACGAGAAGCGCCGCCGGGTCAGCCTTTGCCGTGCGCAGCTCTGGCCTTGGGGGTGTTTGCCGCAGACGCCGTGCGCGCAAAGTTTGGCACAAACACCTGTCTGGAGGTGTGAGGTGAGCTGACAGTGGGGCTGCCTCGGCTGGGCACAGGCAGCCTTTTGCCGCTCCTGGCCTGCTTTTCAGCCAAAAACGTGAAGGAGATACTGTGCAGTGCTTACAGAGCATGATCCCACTGTGATGAGGGGAAAAAAAGGACCTTCTGCTATTCATGGGAAACCTGTTATTCCTTGTGCAGACTTTTAATTCTTCTGTCTGATTTACTGTCCAGTATCTTTCTAACAAAACCTGTTAGAAATTTAGATTAAGGATGAGGAGTTGAGTTCGTTCATTACAAAATCTTGCAAAGCCTGAAGGACTGGGATGGTGACTGCTCTCAGCAAAGTTTATTTATTAGCATTATGTCAGATTTCCCCCAGCCCTGGGCAAGAAACCTCTGGGATCGTGTTGGAGGTGAGACTGATCCAGGTCAGATCAGGTCAGTGTTTCCCTGTAGGTGTGGGGTTTGGCCCCAGACGCTGAGTTTAAACTGGATCAGGGTAACAGGTGCTGCATTTTGTTGTATCACAAGAGTTTATATCCCTGCCTCTGCTGGGACGTGGCAGCACAGGGAGCAGAATTAAGCCTGCACCTCCCGTGGGCATTGCTGGACTGTCTCTCTGTTGTGCCATCAGACCATGGCAGTTTGCTGCTGTCACTGCCACTGCCACTCCACCTGGGGGCTGTGCCCTCCTGGCAGCCCTTGCCAGCCCCACACAAGCTCCAGTGCTGCCTCTGTGCTGTGTTAGAAGTGTTTGCTGGGAACGTGCCTCATCCCTGGGAGTATCCTTTTGTTCCTGGGCAGTTGGACAGAGCTTTTGGGCTTGTCAGCTTCAGACTTTGATTGCAAAAGTCACTGAAAGGGAGAATGACAACGAGGTTTGTCAGAGTGGTGCTGTCAGACACCACCTCACAGTCTGTGCTGGATGTTGGAGGCTGTTGTGTATTCGCAATGCAAGGAATTAATGTCCCCTTCCCAATTCAGCCTAGATGGTCCCAAAGGCTCTTGCAAGGAATATTTCTTTTTTACTTTCTTTCATTTGTGATAACATAATTTCCAAACTGCCATGAAAATTTCTTTTGTTTCGCCTGGAGAAAACCACATGGCAGAGGCAGTTTGCAGAGCCCAGAATTGTTTTAGGAGAAGGGAGTGCTGTGAGTGCTGACAAGCTGCATCTGCCTGTGCTCTTATTCCAGGAAAAATGCGCTATGCCAAGTCCTTTTCAGTTCTTTCACATAGAAAAGCTCTTGCTGGCACACAGCACATGATTGTTCCTCGAGTGCTTGGACTGGACTGGGACCACTCCACAGCTGAGGAATAATTTCATTTTTCCAGAAGGAGGCGGGAAGACCATGGATTTCCACGTAAGAATGGTAGGAGAGAAACTTGGAAGTCGTGCAACTTGTTAATGATTTATTCTGATCGGCATTTGCCCTCTCAGTGTCCCGAAGCTCGGCGCTCCCCGTGTGGGGGCCGACCGAGGCCTGGCGCGCGGCGGCGCAATGACGCGCGCGGCGGCGCAGTGACGCACGCGCGGCGCGCGCAGTGGCTCGCGCCTGACACCCGGTGGCGCGCAGCAGTACGGCAGTGGAACAGCGCGCATGCGCGTTTGCCAGCGGAGGCCCTTTGCACGTGGGAATTAAGGGCGAAAAGGAAACCCCGTGAGCATGCGTGGTGCTGTGGAAAGGGAGGCGCATGCGCAGTGGCGTGCCCGGCATGGAGCCGAGGCCGCACCGCAGAGCCTTTCCTGGGACACAAAACCTGGCTTTTTCCTGCGAAACAAAACCTGGGCTTTTCCTGGGACACAAAATCTGCGTTTTCCTGGGAAATAAAATCTGGGGTTTTTCCTGGGACACAAAACCTGGGTTTTTCCTGGGAAACGAAACCTGCAGCTTCCCCAGCCCCGTTGCGAGGGGGGACCCCCCCTGAGCAGCTGGGGCGGTGCTGGGGCGGTGCCGGGCGGTGCTGGGGCGGTGCTGGGCGGTGCTGGGCGGGGCCGGGGCGGTGCTGGGGCGGTGCCGGGGCGGTGCTGGGGCGGTGCCGGGCGGTGCTGGGGCGGTGCCGGGCGGTGCTGGGGCGGTGCTGGGGCGGTGCTGGGCCGATGCGGGGACGGCGCTGGGGCGGTGCTGGGCAGGGCCAGGGCGGTGCGGGGCGGTGCCGAGGCGGTGCCGGGGCGGTGCGGGGCGGTGCCGGGGCGGTGCTGGGCCGGTGCCCGGGCGGTGCTGGGGCGGTGCCGGGGCGGTGCCCGGGCGGTGCTGGGGCGGTGCGGTGCTGGTGCTGGGCCGGTGCTGGGCCGGTGCCCGGGCGGTGCTGGGCGGTGCCGGGGCGGTGCCGGGGCGGTGCTGGGCGGTGCCGGGGCGGTGCTGGGCCGGTGCCCGGGCGGTGCTGGGGCGGTGCCGGGCGGTGCTGGGGCGGTGCTGGGGCGGTGCTGGGCCGATGCGGGGACGGCGCTGGGGCGGTGCTGGGCAGGGCCAGGGCGGTGCGGGGCGGTGCCGAGGCGGTGCCGGGGCGGTGCGGGGCGGTGCCGGGGCGGTGCTGGGCCGGTGCCCGGGCGGTGCTGGGGCGGTGCCGGGGCGGTGCCGGGGCGGTGCCCGGGCGGTGCTGGGGCGGTGCGGTGCTGGTGCTGGGCCGGTGCTGGGCCGGTGCCCGGGCGGTGCTGGGCGGTGCCGGGGCGGTGCCGGGGCGGTGCTGGGCGGTGCCGGGGCGGTGCTGGGCCGGTGCCCGGGCGGTGCTGGGGCGGTGCCGGGCGGTGCTGGGGCGGTGCTGGGGCGGTGCTGGGCCGATGCGGGGACGGCGCTGGGGCGGTGCTGGGCAGGGCCAGGGCGGTGCGGGGCGGTGCCGAGGCGGTGCCGGGGCGGTGCTGGGGCGGTGCCGGGCGGTGCTGGGCCGGTGCCCGGGCGGTGCTGGGCGGTGCCGGGGCGGTGCTGGGCCGGGGCCGGGGCGGGGCCGGGGCGGTGCTGGGGCGCCGGGAGGATGCGGCTGGAGATAGAGCTTGCAGGCTTGTCACTTTTAAAGGAACGTGGAAAGCAGGGAAAGAGGTGGTACAAAAGCATTGTGACTGCTGGGCAGGTGAGACGCGACTCAGACGGGGGAGTCGCTTTCCTGAGCTCCTGAAGTTCCACTTGATTTTCTCAGGAGCAGTCGTGAAAAGTTTCCCGTTTGGAGCTGGGCTCCAAAAAGAAGGAAGCTGAAAATGCTTCTTCTGATGAATCCCTAAGTATGGGAGGCCACTGTGAAAAATGCATTTATTTTTTGATTGGCTTTTCACAAATATTAAAATGAATATTATATGTGTTGTGTTAGAAAATAGTACTTAATTCTCTTAAGTACTGTGTTAAATATAGTTTTAGGTTATAAAAAATGTTAAAATAGAAACTATGCTATGTAGGATACTTTTTTAAAGAAAGGACTCGCAGCGAGATAGCAGCCCCAGGACACCTGAATCTTTCAGAGAAAAAGAATTTATTGCCCTCTTATCAGAAGAAACTAACTTCTTCCTGCCTCGAAGGCGCTGTTAGGATTCGGAGGAAGAAGTTGAGGATGACCAGACAGAATCCTGTGTTTGAATGGAATTTATGCATCATGTATGAGGTGTATGAATATGCAACGGGCTGTTGCTTTTAAGGGGTAATCCTTTGTTAACGTGGGTCCTTTTCCGTGCTCGTGATGCCCAGTAAAAGGTACCCGGACATCTGTAACTCTTTGTCTTTATTATCTCATATTGTCCTAATTAAATTTGTCCAAATTATTATTACTCTAATTGTATTACTATTTTTTAATAACCATTTTATTACTATTAAACTTTTAAAATTTTAAAAACAAGTGATTGGCGTTTTCACAATATGAAGCTCACTGCCATAAGCAGGCAGTAACTTCCACGGGTATTTTAACTATTAAAAATGCTGACTTGTATTTCCTCTGGGCACAAATGACTTGGCCCATGTAGAATCCACTGAGGCTGTGAACTGCAATCCAGAGCATCTTCAGGCTTCTGGTGCTCGGGGCTGTGGTGTTTGTTGTGCAGAAAACATCCCAGGCTGTCCTCCCTGGATCTGGATGTGCATTTCCACAGTTCCTCAGAGTGGGGAAAGGCCAAGAGGCTGCTGGGAAGGGCTTCCTCCCAGGCCTGGGCATCCTCAAGACACCTCAATGTTTGTTGTCTTTTGTTTCCCAGCCCAGGGCTAAGCTGGAGAAAAGGTGGAGAGAGTAGCAAGTGAGACCTTCCATGTTTCGATCCACCCTTGAATTCCAGGTTCTCCCAGCGGGTCTGTGCTGCCTAAGGGAAGGAAATGTTGCGAGTACCTGTTTGTTCACCTGTGCAGCTTGGAGGAGAGACTGAGCATGGAATTGCAGGGAAGCTGCGCTTGTGTAGTGGCTGGAGGAGAAGCATCTTGCCCCACATGTCTGTATGCCTCTGTCCTTACTGTGTGTTTGGCATTCTCTTTTTCTCTGTTCTCCATGCTTCGCTCATGTTCCTTTTTATTCTCTGTGGTGCTGCCCGTGCCATTGTTCCTCAGAGGATCCTTGTGTTCCATTCCCCGTTCCTGTTCTTTTTTAAATGCCTCTCTGTTGTACTGCCCATCCCAGTTTAGGGGTTTTTTTGTTTGTTTGGGGGGTTTTGTTTGGGGTTTTTTGTTTGGGGTGTTTTTCAACTTCATCCTGCACCCTGTTCTTCCTTTTCTTCCTGTGTCCTCTCTGCTTCTGCTCCCTCTTGCTGCCCCTGGCCCATAACAGCGAGGCTGGGGAGGAGCCTCAACCCTTCTGGGGGCTGCCCCCCCTCTCTTGTTGCAGCAGAATCCGTTGCTGGGGGGATGGACGTGTGGAAAGGGCTTGGAGGAAGCGCTGCGCTGCTGTCCAGGGCAGTCGGACTCGTTCTGTGCCTTCTTTGGGGGTCAGGGAAAGGGGGTGAAGACTCGGGGCTCTGATGCCATTGGGGGCACCCCAAGGTCCCCGGGAGTGGGAGCCCCACTGCTGTGCAGGAGCAGGCGGGTGGCGGGCGAGGGGCGTCATGCTGGGGGCCGTCCCCCAGAGGGACCCAAAGCTGCCACCAAATTCACAGGGAGGGGTGGGTGTAGAATGCTAAAACCTGTCCAGGTATTCGTTTTTATAGCTATTGGTAAAGAATAGGAATTTGTCCCTAAATTCATATGGAAAGAAACCCAGAGCAGCCCCACGTGTGAGCTGTGAGAATGAGGAGGGCTCCGAGCAGCCCCAGGTGTGAGCTGTGAGGATGAGGACGACTCGGAGCAGTGCCAGGTGTGAGCTGTGAGGATGAGGACGACTCGGAGCAGCCCAGGTGTGAGTGTGAGGATGATGGGGGCTCGGAGCAGCCCAGGTGTGAGTGTGAGGATGATGGGGGCTCGGAGCAGCCCAGGTGTGAGTGTGAGGATGATGAGGGGCCAGCTCCTGCTGGGGGGAGGCTGTTTTAGGGGGAGGCTTTGCCTCAGTTCCCTTTTGCATGGAACTGCTGAGTGGAGGGGTTTATGGGGGGCTCCCGGGGCTGTCTCATGGAAGGACTGTGAGAGCTTCTCACAGGGTCTGGGGGAACACCTGGATTCGTGCTTGGATACGTGGAACATCGCTTAAAGGAGGTGCCGAGGGACGAATCTTTGTGCCGGGGAGCAGCAGCCGAACAGGTGAGCCTGTGTGGATTTGGAGCGGGGACTTTTGTCCTTCCCCTTGTGATAAATAGGTATGATTCGTGCTGATAAAAATTGAAACAGTAATTTATATTGATACAGTAATTAATATTTGAGAATAATAAATAGTTAAAAAGTTGTAATGCCAAAGAAGAGAGGGAGAGGAGGGGCTCCACCCCTCCCTTCCCAGCAGATGTTTTCAAGGACCACAGGAAAGAAGCTGAAGATACAGTTGCTAAAAATGAACAAGAACCTGGTTGAGTCCCAGAAAATGCTAATTTTAAGGGATTTTTTGCCTTGATATTTAGATGCAGTGATACCTTAGTCTTAGCTTACATTGTACTGGCTTGGTGCGCATGTGTAACCCAAAGGTGAATTAAAGGACAAAGAGGAAAAGGAGAGGTTTTCATCCAAAACGACCCCCAAAGACTTGTGCGACCACCAAACCGAGTGGTGGCGCATGCGTGATAAGGGTGGTAATGAAGGCGGAGATAGAGATATGACGAACCGAAAATGGGAGGAGATGGCATTGACACATGGCATATAAGGGGTGATTTTCACTTGGCAAGCTGGTACGTGAAGTGGCAAGGGTTACAGAACCCTGCCCTCCGTACCCTGCGGTTATTTTTCGTTTATGCGCTATTATTGGAACCAAATTATCCCTTATTTTAATCGAATTATATTGTATCCAATTTTACATTTTTTATTTTAACTATTCAATTAAAATTGTTACTCCTTGTAATATTGTTTTGTTTTGGTTTTGTTTGTTTTTTTTTTTTGATGGTATAATTGGGCAAGTCCCTCCCCGGATCCCCAGGAACAAAAGTGGAGCTTATGAGGACAAAAGGAACTAAGGAGAAGGAAGCAGCTTCTCTTCTATTATTGTCTGTGTTTGAACTGAGGGGATCCCTCTTCACTTGTGGTTTTAAGGGTGTTGATTGCAGAAAAACCTGCCTTTTCCAGGCTGTTAGGGATATCCCAGGGGTGACAGGGAATCCCTGCGTTCTATTTTAAGGGGAATGGGAAAAGTATTGTTGTGGTATTATGGGTTTGATTTGAAGGTAGTCACCCCATTTTCATCATCCTAAGGTTTAAATTGAGGGGGCAGCCCTGGTGTCCCTCCTTTTCAAGGGTTTGAATGGAGGTCGAAATCCCCCTTTCCCATCAGCTGAAGGCTTTCATTTGAGGAGCACCCCTTCTTTTCTGCTCTCCTAGGGGATGAAATTGAACGGGAGAACACATTTCTTTGCCCTTGTTGAAGTGAGGTGAGCCCCGCCTGCGGCGTCAGTTTCGGGGTTCTGTTGCGGGAAGCTGCAGCTCTGGCAGCGTTTGCAGGGCTGCAATGGGGCTGTGCCGCTGCATTCGAGGGCGCTTCTTGTGCCCGTGGCCCGGCCCGGAACGTTCCCGCTCGGGAGTGCTGCTGGCACGGCCTGGGCAGCTGCCGGGGCGGACGGGGGATTTGGCGCGGCAGTGGAGGAGCCACGCCGGTGCGAGCCGTGCGGAGCCGAGGGAAGCCGTGCCGGGCCGGCCAAGGGCGGCAGAGGCGGCGCGGGCGCTGCTGCGCCGGCCCGGGCGGTGTCGGCCGCTCCGGGCGCGGGGCTCGGGCTCAGCCGGTACCCCCGGGCGCGGTGCCGGCCCCGCCGGGCAGGGGCAGCGGGCGGGGGTCTCTGGGCTCGGTGCCGGCCCCGTGTGCCGGAGGAGCCGCCGGAGGAGCCGCTTTCCTGCCGGGAGCCGCGCTCCGTCCGGGGCCGGCAGCGAGCGCGGGGTTCGCCTGCTGAAAGTTCTGGGGTGTCGTGGTTCGGAGGCGCATTGTAGGCATTTATTGCATAGTTTTGTTCTGTTTGCAGTTGGTGTACGCTAAGGGATACGGTGTTCTTCCTGAGGGGTATGGTTCTCGGTGCAGGTGGGGATGGTAAAGGTTTGCTTTGGAGTGAGTTTTGTAGTCGGATATTTGTTTTGCCGGGATATTATGTTTTTAGAGGCGTGCAATGGTTTTTACGGGTCGGAGTGTGAAGTAGTGGTTCGGACTTTAATTCTGTTGTGGTGGCTTTTATTAGCGTGAGTGTGTAGTGTTTGTGTTGGTGGGCTTGAGGTAGCGTCGTGTCATTAATAGCATCAAGTTTTTAATCTTTATAATTGCATTTGTGTTTATCGTCTTCCAGGGCTTTTATTTATTTGGATTGTTTGCTTGTAGTGTATGTTTTATGGTTAAGGTTCATTTGGGAGACATTGTTTATGGTTACGTTTGTCTTTAGGCTTTGTGTTGGTTTCTAGGTGGTATTTTTATTTTGATAGATTGAGGCACTATGGGTTTATTCCGTTAGGAATAAATTTTTTGTTGTAAATTTATTTGGGGTTTTTTTGTGTCGTTGATGTATTTGGTTGTTCTTTATTAGTTTGATTTTTGGGAACATGGGTATTTATATGGGGGGTCTTTTAAAGTAGTTTTTTTATTTGGGTAGGAACTTTATTTTTTAGTGGTTGGGATTTTTTTCCATTTCATAAATTAGTTCGGTTTCTAAAGTTAGTTTTACAAAGTATTGGTTATTCTTTGAGTTAGTGTAGAGGCAGAATTTTGGTTATTTTTTTTAATAACGTTGAGGGTCAGTGGCAGTGCTTGGAGTTTAGTAAGTTGGTTTGACTTTTTTTTAGGGGCTGTTGAGATTTGCTGTGTGTGTTTCTATAGGGTTTTCTTTTATTTTGGTTTCATTTTTCCAATGAAAATGTGATGAGAACTGCTAGTGAAAAGAGTGTTGTGTGTTTTTTCGTTGCAGTGGATTGGCTGGTGGAGGTATCTTGATGTTTTTGGAAGATATTGGTGGGAATTCAATGATGTTTGTATTGTGATTTTATTTAGGAATTGGATTTTAAATGTAAAATTATAACTATAACGATAATTACACAAAACAAATATATGTATAGAAATGTGAATAAAAAATTAAAAATTGAAATATCGACCGAATATATAAAAAAAATTCCATGTAAGGTAAATCATTATATGGTATAAAAAGGTACAATATTTTTTAATACTGAGTATTATATATGTTTATATATATATGAATATAGATTGTAAATAGAAACGAAACACCAATCAAAATATAAATATAAAAATGTATGACAAATATATCCAGCCATATATAGAAAAAGGAAATATTAATGAATATAGAAAAAAAAACTTCATACAATACATACTACAAGTCATACTATATATATAATGTTATAATATATTATAGGAAATATATATAGAATATTTAAAAATACAGAGCATCAATATGTTATCATATGACATTTACCAATTATAAACACACATATGAAAATGAAAAATAAAAATATAATTTTTAAATTCTTAAATAAAGCGGGTTTTTTATTTCCCAAAATGCAAGGGTTTGACTATAAAAAAAATAAACAAAACAATAAAAAAGTTGAAATTTAAGTATAGAAATATGTCATAAATACGTACAGATATATAAAATACGAAAATAAAAGCAAAATGAGTAATAGCGCTAGAGATGATAAATATTTCAAAAATTATTTAAATATATTTTAGAATTTTATGTATATTACATATAATGATTACTATACTGCATCAAAAGAACCAATAAATACAAATCTGAATATATTAAACAACATATAATTAAAAAATTTCAATGTCGTTTAAAAGAAGGGGGGGTTTTGAATTTATTTATATAGACACAAATAAAAAATTTCATTTCCTTTCGGGAAGGGAAAAGGAATCTTGTGATTTCAATGGGGACCAATAGAGGAATCTTTGGTGCATGTCCCTGCCCTTGATGGCATGCCATGCCTTTTGATGGCTTTGACTTTCGGAAAGATTTTTTTCTCTTTTGCTTTTTGTTTTTATGTATCCATGCCATGTCCCTCATATCTTCCCCTCCAAGTTTGTCTTCCTTTTTGTCTTTTTCCCCAGCTTTTGCAACATCTGTGAGCTTAGTTTTGGCATGTTTTAGTCCTTTGCAATGCACCTGATATAATCCTGGGCCATTTTCTTAGACTCACGAAATTTCCCAAATTTTCTTTTTTCTCCTATAATTCCAATTCCTATGATGGTATCTCAATTCCAGCGTGTTTCTAAGTCCTTCTTATCTCTTTTGGCCTTCAGTGTGGATCAATTTTGGCAAGCTTTGCTGCATGTGCCTGCATTTGATGGTGTATGGCCTGCATGCATTTTGATGGCTTTGACTTTGGGAAAAATTTTTTTCTTTTTTTTTGTTTTTTATGAAGTGTCCATGCCATGTCCCTCATACCTTCCCCACTAACTTGTGTCTTCCTTTTTGTCTTTTCCCCCTGCTTTTGCAACATCTGTGAGCTTAGTTTTGGCATGTTTTGGCCCTTTGCAATGCAGCTGATTTCCTCACAGGTTATTTTTTGAAGACACTAAAATTCCCGATGTTCTGTTTTTTTCAATTCCATTTCATTTGAACCTATCTCCTTTCCAGACTGCTTGTCCGACTTTCTTTTGAGATTCGCAACACTCCTTTTCCCTTCCCGAAAGGAAATTTCATTTCCATTCAGGAAGGTAAAAGGAAACTTCCGATTTCAAAGGGGGCCAATAGGGGAATCTTTGGTCCATGTCTCTGCACTTGATGGCATGGCATGCTTTTGATGGCTTTGACTTTGGGAAAGACTTTTTTCATTTTGCTGTTTTTTCATGAAGCGTCCATGCCATGTCCCTCATAACTTGCCGTCTAAGTTGTGTCTTCCTTTATGTCTATTCCCCCTGCTTTTGCAACATCTGTGAGCTTAGTTTTGGAATGTTTTGGTCCTTTGCATTGTCCCAGATATAATCCTGGGGAATTTCCTTAGAGACACGAAATTTCCCAACATTTCTTTTTTTCTCCACCAATTGCAATTCCTTTGATGGTATTTCCATTCCTCACAGGCTATTTTTTGAATACAAGGAAATGGACCGGGATTCTATCCAGAGCAGTGCAAAGGACCAAAACAGGCCAAAACTAAGTTTACAGATGCTGCAAAAGCAGGAAAAAATGTCAAGGAGGAAGACTCAGCTTGGAGGGAAAGATATGAGGGACATGCTGCGGATAGTCAAAAAAAGAAAAAAATATTTTCGCAAAGTCAAAGCCATGCAAACGCAAGGCATGCCATCAAGTGCAGGGAGATGCACCAAAGATTCCCCTATTGGTCCCCATTGAAATCGCAAGATTCCGTTTCCCTTCCCGAAAGGAAATTTCATTTCCTTTCGGGAAGGGAAACGGAATTTTGCGACCTTTCATTTCCTTTCGGGAAGGGAAACGAAATCTTGCGACGCCAAAAAGAAAGCCAAACAAACACTCTGGAAAGGAGATAGGATCAAATGAAATGCAATTGAAAAAAACCCAGAAAATCGGCAGATTTCGTGTCTTCAAAAAATGGTCTGTGAGGAAGTGAGTTGCAGTGCAAAGGACCAAAATATGCCGAAACGAAGCTCACAGAAGTTGCAAAAGCAGGGGGAAATGTCGAGGAGGAAGACACAACTTGGAGGGGAAGATATGAGGGACATGGCAGGGAGAATTAAAATTTTAAAAAAATTTGCAATACAAGCCTATAAAAAGGCAGGCCATATGACATCATGTGCAGAGACATGAACCAAAGCTTGCCCAAATTGATCCCCACTGAAGGCCAAAACAGAAAAGAAGGACTTAAAAACGCTCTGGAATGGAGATACCATCCAAGGAACTGCAATTGGAGGAGAAAAAATGAAAAATTTGGAAATTTGGCGACTGCAAGGAAACGGACCGGGATTCTATCCAGCGCAGTGCAAAGGACCAAAACAGGCCAAAACTAAGTTTGCAGATGCTGCAAAAGCAGGAAAAATTCTCAAGGAGGAAGACTAAGCTTGGAGGGGAAGATATGAGGGACATGCTGTGGATAGTCAAAAAAAGAAAAAAAATTTTGGCAAAGTCAAAGCCATGCAAAGGCATGGCATGCCATCAAGTGCAGGGAGATGCACCAAAGATTCCCCTATTGGTCCCCATTGAAATCGCAAGATTCCGTTTCCCTTCCCGAAAAGAAATTTCATTTCCTTTCGGGAAGGGAAACGGAATCTTGCGACCCCAAAAAGAAAGCCAAACAAACACTCTGGAAAGGAGATAGGATCAAATGAAATGCAATTGAAAAAAACCCAGAAAATCAGCAGATTTCGTGTCTTCAAAAAATGGTCTGTGAGGAAGTGAGCTGCAGTGCAAAGGACCAAAATATGCCGAAACGAAGCTCACAGAAGTTGCAAAAGCAGGGGGAAATGTCGAGGAGGAAGACACAACTTGGAGGGGAAGATGTGAGGGACATGGCAGGGAAACTTAAAAAAAAATTTTCAAAAAATTTTCCAAGTCAAGCCCATAAAAAGGCAGGCCATATGACATCATGTGCAGGGACCTGCAACAAAGCATGCACAAACTGATCCCGCTGAAGGCCAAAACAGAAAAGAAGGACTTACAAACGCTCTGGAATGGAGATAGCATCCAAGGAACTGCAATTGGAGGAGAAAAAATAAAAAGTTTGGAAATTTTTCGAGTACCCGGAAACGGACCAGGATTCGATCCAGCGCAGTGCAAAGGACCAAAACAGGCCAAAACTAAGTTTGCAGATGCTGCAAAAGCAGAAAAAATGTAAAGGAGGAAGACTCAGCTTGGAGGGGAAGATATGAGGGACATGCTGTGGATAGTCAAAAAAAGAAAAAAAAATTTTGGCAAAGTCAAAGCCATGCAAAGGCATGGCATGCCATCAAGTGCAGGGAGATGCACCAAAGATTCCCCTATTGGTCCCCATTGAAATCGCAAGATTCCGTTTCCCTTC